GTTTCCGGTTCCAGAACAGCTGATTTGAATCAGTTTAATCAACTCGGAGTAGTTTCACCTGGAGTTAAGCGCGTGCACCACGACTATAAAAAGCCAGCATCAATGGAGCCCCGATTCGACGAGTCACCATGACAACGGGGACGGGGAGGGCTGCGTTTTTCACCCCACTAGAATTAGAAATCTTAATGCTCTCATACGGCGAGTTTGCACACGTTGGCAGCAGTTTAGGATGAAATATAAAAACATTGTTCAAACAGGTAAAACCTCGGCATAATCTCATGGAGGTATCTCATTTTGATCATGTTTTACATTGTAAAGTAAATATTAAGTGGCTGTTTGACAGTGCAGTTGTTTTTTCCCCAACATAATGCTGTTTTCACACACATAAATGTCTTCTCATCTATATCATGTTCTGTTAAATAATTAAGCCTATTTAAACTAACACAGACTTCTACTCAGCCAACAGAAAGAAGGCAGATGCCCATAAAACGAGCACACTTTTCTGACCGCCCTGCATACAGTTGCCTTACTCAAGTGCTCAGCGTCTCCGACATTGTACAAAAAACTTCCATTTGCAAAGAAACACAGCGCAACACACAATATCTGCTGGGATGTGAGAGCATGACTATGACTGGTAATGTTGCAAATGTAAGGACGGATTAGGTTGTGTAGATGATGGACTGTGACGTGAAACCATCTCCCAACGAATATTTAATTCTCTGCGCAGTAATTCTGCACCTTCATCCACGGGATCGTTATCAAAAGGACATGCCATGTTAGTGAAAAAAGTCGGCACCTACTGTGCCTACATGGACTTCTAATATACTGACTCTGATTTTTTTTTTTAAATGACAGACGGCAGAACTAGGCTACGCCAAAACTCGCCTGCTGACTGAATGAATGAGGAAATCAAATGGAGTGTGTGGCTCTGAAAGAGGGCGGAGACAGAGAGAAACTCGAGGTTCATTGAGAAAAACCTGGTCCCGACCAGGTTAGGTTCATAGAGTCTGTTACTATGGTAACTGACCAAGAGCTTAAGTTACCTCTCTCTCTGAAACAGGCTAGAGTTACTCCTCTTTCTCTGGTTTGAGTTACCTCCCTTTTTGAAACGGAAAACTCAGAGTTTCCCTCATTTCAGGGTTAACAGACTCTGAGTTTTCACTAAACCTGCTTTGTGAAACGGGCCCCTGATCTCAAACCAAAAACTCTGAGTTTCCTAGCTCAGGCACAGTCAGCTCAGAGATTGGGATTAGGCTCAGAGTTTGTTTAGCCTGCTTTCGGAAATAGGGCCCAGAGGTACTACCAGCACAAACAACAGTGATAGCACAGCTGACAAAATAAACAGCAGAAAGGAATTTGCATGAAACATCTTAATAAAATAGATTTATTAACAGATTGAAGAGGATCTCAATATTTAAAAGTGCAACATTTATATATTGATATAATTTAAAAATACACGTTAGATCATCTCAAAAAACACAACATAAATATGCAAACAGGCAACCAGTTCACAGAAGGAAAGCATCCGGTTAGATGTCACTCAAAAACACACTTAGTCTTACAAAGGTGTCTTTGAAAATGGAAATATCTGAGTTGGCAGTGATGCTTTGATGACTTCATGTGCAAAATAATTTGTTGAATCACAATATTTACATATATGCATGCAATAAAGTCATAGATCAGTATTTGTACAGATATGAAATATTACAGTGAGAACATACTTTTTGTAAGCAGACACTGACAGTTATATGAGCAGTCTTGAAAGGCTCAGTTTAAGTCTGTTTCCTGACTGTTGGACCACACACACTAACACAAACACACACAAAGGCCAACAAAAATAGAAATCAGACTTAAGTGCATGACCAGTTTGCCTACAGTGATCATTTTGTTTCATTTAAAGCCCTATTCATAAAGGACCAGTGTAACCAGGGGACCACGTGATTTACAAATTCTGCTCTCCTGATGGATCTGAGCTTGCCGTTTCTGTAAACAGTGCTCCATGCTGTGTAGCGAGATGATGCCTCATTTCCACTTATGTATGTGACTGGTGTCAGTAGATCCATCAATATACAAATGATGCCTCCAGTGTCAAACGCAAGGAAGTACATTTATTTACGGATGTAGAGAAACCTGACAGAAACTTCCTGTGGCCATGATGGGGGAGAGGCTAATTTTGTCTGATATTCACCAGTAGCTTGGAAGATGCACTTAGAATACTGCCAGGACAGAAACGGGACCAATGTTGTAAGGCAATAAATAAATGAAGATGCTGGCCTACCAGGTACGTAGCATGATTTGTGAAATATTTCATTAAAAAGATGTATGTACGACGTACTGATGCATAGGCCTACACTTTCATATCAAACTTATAAGGATGATGACTGTATTTAACCAGACTGATGAATCTGTAACATTAGGCTATTTCATATTAAAATAATAAATCTGACTGTATTTCATATCAAACTGATAATGACAATCTGACAGTGTATACTATATTAACATGTTTTAGCAGAATAACACTACTCAGATTAACAATATGTTAAAACTAGATAAACAAGTTCCTTTTAATGATTCAAACTCAGTTGACAATCAGCACAGGCAACTGAATTAAAGGTTATAGCCGGTTAGTTAGCCAGCAGCCTGTCAGCTAATCTAGCACACTGTCATACAGTCTCTGAAATCCACCGCAAAAGTTACATTTTGTGAATGTAGTCGAGGCAAATTCCAGACTGAAATATTACTGAGTGGAGGAGTTTTGCAGGCTTATCAGATATCATGGAAAATCTCACAGGAATGAATGGACTTCTGGTTGACTTGTCTCAGTACACATACACAAGTGGAAAAAATGCATACGCCTCCTGCACCAAAAATGCTGTCAAAACTTTCATTTACATTTACCAATGTAGCATTTGTAATTCTTGACTGGGAAAAAGGCAGAAAAGATGTGCAGAGAAAACAAAAGCCAAACAGGATTCAAAATCACTGAAATGCTTTTTTGTACAGGACTACTGTTATCACATGACCTCTGTGTTTGGCTAAATTGGTCATTTAAGGTAGAACTTTCACTTTAAAAAAAAAAATAAAAAATTACAGACTTGGCAGATATGCAAGGGATTAAGATAATAGGTTACCTCTGCAATTATTACAAATAACTAGAGATCCCCAGGTAACACTAATCCTGTGTGAATAGGCCTTATTTACTTAAATTCAGCTCAAGACTCTTTTGCAGATTTTTTTTTTAATTTACCTGCCCTTAATGTCATTTCTTCTGTTTTGTACCCTGCCCGTTAGAACTAATAATATGCAGTGATGTGTGTTGTTAATATTTGGTTACTATCTGTGGTGAGCATTTCTGCAAAAACAATTAACACACAAATACTGGGAAACTACAGTTCAGTTTTTTCCCAAAACTGAATATGCTGCAAGTTTGAAAAAAAGACACTATTCCACGATGCAGAATAATGGTAATGTGCTTCTAATAAAGGTTTGAGGGAAGGCTGTTTGAAAAGTGGACTCCTTTGATTTTACACATTAAAAGAGACACATATGACATTGAGAGCATATCTATGATTCAGAGTCTGGGCAGGGATTGATTGCACATAGCTCACAACATAGAGGTGCCTGAGCCAGTGGCTAGCAGCTAAAGGTGCCCACAGCATGAACAGGGCTAACAGCTGCTACAGTAAGTGCCATATAAGCACAGGGCAGAGTTGCAGCAATTGGCTACCCAGTAGAATGCACAACTTTTTTTCCCAAGTGTGTTTTGCATCGACTTCAGTCAACCAAGATTTTCTTTGGTTGACAACAGCCCTAGTAAAGATATAATGGAGTGTTGAGTGTGTGTATCCCACTTGCTAGCTCATCGTTGCTGCTTTGCACTGTGCTCATAGGGCAGTTACAGCCGAGATTCAGACATAGCAGAAGCATAGCGCCCAATGTCAGCTACCAGCTCAGCCACCTCCATGTTGAGAACTGTGTCCAAGACAACTCATACATTCTAATTTTCTAATAGAGCCATTAAAGGTGAAGTCATTTTTTCCACACGTTTCCTTTTTGTGTTAATTTTATGATTGTTTTATTACTTTATAGCGGTCTGCTTGAAATACTTTTAATGCATGGACCTTAGAGATGTCCCAAAGTGAAACCTTTAGGTCAGAAAGCTTTTAGCTCTCATCTCTGAGCTGTGGGAACAGCCTGACAAAGGATTTGAGTTGAGCTGAAAGTGCTGATATCTTCAAACATACACCGAAAACCTGCCTCTATAGCCTGGCTTCTGCTTAAAGGCCAAAATGGTCATTCATGTCTTTTACACATTTTGTAGTTTTCAATTATTTTGTTTTATTCTGAATACATTTTTAATGGACATCTCTGTATATTACTAAATTTTTGTGTCCAGTCAACAACAGTCCAGTCCACAGTTACTGCACTTGGAATCGATTCATTTTGAGTTGATCAACGAATGATTTCAGAAGATGGTTGCTGTTTTTAGCTGATGGAAGCTGTTACAACATAATCAAAGTATTTAAGGTATCATAATTGTAAACACGCACTATGAGATGGTCAGATACTGACAATCCCCAAGGGAAATCATAGTACTTACAAACTGTAAAGTCTGGATTTACACCTGGACCTTTCCTGAGTTAACAGTGGATGATTCACTGACAATAGATATATGCATCTGCTAGCTATATAGCACCAATGAGCTAGCTAACATTACAGCTCAGTCGAGGAGAACACCATTGATGTTTACATCTCGTGCTGTCACAAGCACGAGCCTCTCGTCCATGAGTAGATGCACACTTCCTTCTGCGTGGTGAAACGGTGTAGTCTGGTAGAAAGAAAATAGTTCCTACATGAAACTGCTCACAACAAGGTCTGTGGATTATCTTGAGTAACCAGTTCATGATTTCTGGAAAGAGACATTGCTGCTAAGTTTTTAAAATGTATTTTTTGGCACTTTGAGCACCATAAGCCGAGTGCCATGTAGATCCATTATATTGGAGAGAAGGCAGACATCTCTACGGTGGATATCTGTAACACTCGGCAACTCACACCAAAACTATATAGATTGCACTACAGGATTTTTGGGTAAACTGTCACTTTCAGCAAGTATTAAAAGAAGAAGGCTTGATGTCTCTATAGAGACAAAATGGTATCAATGTATTGAAGATGGCCCCTGAGACTGCCATTAAATTTATGGTCTATGAGCAGGATAAGAAACAGCTGACCAGAGAACCAGGGAAGATCAAGACCCACAAGAGGTTCCTGGCTGGATCGCTGGATGGAGCAACAACACAAACTGCCATCTACTGCATGGAGGTCCAGTTTGACCCTGAGGAAGACCAGACAGTACTCAGGAATATTTGACTGTGCCAAGAAAATCCTGAAGGAGGGAGTGAGGGCATTTTTTAAGGGCTATATTCCCAGTCTTTTCAGCATCATCCCTTATGCTGGCATTGAGCTGGTGTACGCTGATGAAGAGCAGGCAGAGCATGGTTGCTCCAGCAGGGGGGACAATCCAAGAGCATTATAACCGACTGAAGGGGCTGTACAAGTGCTGGATGCGTCCAGACAACCATACCAACGATCAGCTTGGAGAGATCATCACTTTGTAGCATTATCTGCAAGTACTTTTACCAGAAGTTAGCACCTGGGTGAGGGAGCACAGCCCAAAGGCTGGAGAAGAAGCAGCTGGATTGGCAGATTGGTGCATGGCATTACACCATCAAGAAAAAGGATGTCTACAGTGAAACAGAAGTATGAGGGGTATAGACCACCAAATCCAACAGATTGTGGTAATACTGGCAGTTGGGTTGGAGAAAGGTTTACAGAGTCAGCCAAAGGGTCAATTCATTGGTCTTCATTGTCAACAACTTGGCCACAAGGCTATCCAAAGCTGCTGAAATGTGTTCAGTACCCAGACCAGAGCAGGAAATCGTACATGTTACCATAAATGGTTAAGCGCTAAAAGCACTAGCAGACACTAGTAGTAACTAAAGACACATTTGGTCAGCAATATTCGACCCAGTAATGAAAGGGTTGTGAATATTACTTGTGTGGAAGGTGACAGCCAGAACTACCCTACTGCTAATATGACTTGTGAGATTAAGGGGCTAAGCTTTTATGCTTTCTGTGGGGGTGTTGGAGAATCTTGCATATGAGATTATCCTAGAAGATGACCTGCCTAGTCTAGACAATGTGGTTCAACAAACATCAGAGGCCTGTGCATGTATGGTAGATCCAGATCTATGGCTAGAGGTCTAAACATTTACCCAGTCTTGACAATGACTTAGTCCAGGGAGGAACTATGGTTAGGAACAGTTGACGACAGTGTCAACAGTTGGTGCGTGAGAGATCAAAGCCCTATTCTCACCAGCCTTGAGAGCTCAGGTGTACACCCACAGTCGCAGATGCCAGACAATTTCAGTTACCCTAAAAAAATGATCTAACCTTGAAATTCCTGTTCACTAATTCTATATACAAATTAATCTCATTTACACAATGTTGTCGTACTCCTGTCACCTTAGGTCAGTGTTCTGTATGTACTTGGAGCAAGTATGATACTGGTTCCTACCAAGCAGCAATCTCCAAGGCTGAAAAATGAAGTCAATGTAGAAGTGCCAAAATCTGCAATTCCTCTAATGGCCACTTGAAGATGGCTCCAAGAGCAAGTCATAAACCCACATTAAAATGCCCAACTTAACAGCAGAAATTAACATGGTTTGGTCTCTATACCTAATCACCTGTTTAAATCTTGAATGTTTATATTAAGGCTTAAAGTTACGCAACATTAAGGGCATTGCCACTTTAGGTGACAGGTGGGTGCCATCCATTGTCAAGTGGCTACAACAATGGCAACATTGGTTTGGTAACGTAACTGTTGCATAACACTAGATTCACAGAGTACGAGGCATCACTACTTCAGTGTGTTTTTGATTCATGAAGTTAACTGTGACATTTTGGTTGCCTAACAAAGTCTTTTTCAACATTTGGTTGAACTAGAAGACCCTCTAAGCAGTTAAATATTTAGTTTTTCCAGTAAGTACATTTTATTTTTATGGTTTTAAACTTCGTTTTTCTGTGGCAAAAATTAGCTTTAGCATTGGTGTTATCACAGTTAACCATAGCTATGCTAGCCTTAGAGTAATCTCCACCCTCTTGTTTGAATATGATCACTTCTGGCTCCAAAAATCCAAGATTGTGATGCCAAATGCCAAACTCGAGGCTTAAAACCGGAGTCTACAAACCAATTACCATTATTTTATACAGTCTGTGGTTCATACATGAAACTCCAACTTTGAAGAAATCAAAACCAAAAAGCCTTTTATAGTGGGCCAGTCTTAACCAGTGGGTTCAGCTCTGTCTACTCTACCTGTGAAGTCTAACCCTGCAGCCTGCTCCCATGAAATAGTGTATGTTTCACTGGTTACTACAAGGTGAATGAAACTGAAGATGCGCAAACTCAAAATGATGTTAAAGTATATCAGAACAAGCAGCTGTCTGCATAGTCACTGCAATTAATAGGCATGGACAATAAACTAAATGTATTAGTTAACCAACATTAGGATTTTCTTGCTGACATAAATTTACTAATATCACAATTTTCAATATGGAAATTGTCTGAATCCCATATATACACACTGAAAACATCTACAATGACAAATTACATCTATTAGTTCAACCAACCAATCAGCCCACAGATCAGTCCTGAGCACAATCTTTAACTGACCACATTGTAATCAATTAAGATAAAGATATTGGAACACAAGAAATTAGATGTGCATGTGTATTGAAAAAATAATTATCCTTTCATTTACTGTTTTTGAGGTATGATTATTTTCAAGGGTCAATATAACAACTTCAGGAAGTCTAGCTTTAAGCAAATCATCAGATAAAAAGGGAGCCAATGTATGCAAGGAAACATATCACAAACATGCATGGAACATGTTTGTAATAGGAACCTCAGCAGCTGCAGTCAGTGGTGTTTGGAAGCAGTGAAGAAAGCTGTGCAAATATTCCAACACGTTAGGCCAAACCTGTGCACACTGCAGCCTGCTGAGCCGATGTTGATGTTGTTTTGGTCATACATTGGATACTTTGTATCTGTTGTTGTACTGCTGATGTTAATGGTATTTGTGTTTAGTGTGGAATCTCTCCAACAAGGCTCTTAGGATGCTCCCTGGTATCTGCTGGTGCTGGTCAATCAGAGACTGGACTGCCTGCTTCACCTGCAGAGCAAAAGCACTGGGTATGAATGATTGGTTCTGTGGAACAGCTCAAAATATTATAAATATTACAAGAAAGAAAGAAAGAAAGAAAGAAAGGAGCAGGAGCTAAAGAAGAAAAAAGAAATAGAGAAAAAAAATAAAGAAACAATAAAAAAGAAAGAAAGAGAAAGTAAAATGAAAGAATGAGAAAGAAAAAAGACAGAAAGAAAGAATGAAAAGAGAAGATAAAAAAAGTAAAAAGAAAAAAGAATGAGAAAAAACAAAAAAGAGAAAAAACAGAAAGAAAAAACAGAAAGAAAGAAAAAACGGAAAGAAAGAAAGAAAGAAAAATAAGCTAGCTTAAGCTTGTTTTAGCTCACTGACTTTCTCTGCCAACTCTGCAGCACTGATGTTGGGGTCATACAGGATGGGATCACCAAGGAAGGTCCGAAACTTCACAGGAAATCCACCATAAATAGGAGCTACTGGGATGCGAAACCTCTCATACATCCAGCGGAAAAATCCTGAACAAAAAGAGATCATCTGTTTGCCTTGTAACTTGTAACAATGTTTTATGCTGCCCTCTTGGCCAGGTCACTCTTGAAAAAGAAATTTTTAATCTCAACGAGGCTTTTACCTGGTTAAATAAAGGATATATATATATACAGTCAGGTCCATAAATATTTGGACATTGACACAATTTTCAGCATTCCAGCTCTGTACAACACCACAATGGATTTGAAATGAAACAATCAAGATGTGCTTTAAGTGCAGACTCTGAGCTTTAATTTGAGGATATTTACATCCAAATCAGGTGAACGGTGTAGGAATTACAACACATTTTATATGTGCCTTCCACCTTTTTAAGGGACCAAAAGTAATTGGACAAACTAACATAATCATAAATCAAATTGTCACTTTTTAATACTTCGTTGCAAATCCTTTGCAGTCAATGACAGCCTGAAGTCTCAAACCCATGGACATCACCAGACGCTGGGTTTCGTCTCTGGTGATGCTCTGCCAGGCCTCTGCTGCAGCTGTCTTCAGTTCCTGCTTGTTCTTTGGGCATTTTCCTTTCAGTTTTGTCTTCAGCAAGTGAAATGCATGTTCAATTGGATTCAGGTCAGGTGATTGACTTGGCTATTGCAGAACATTCCACTTCTTTGCCTTTAAAAACTCTTTGGTTGCTTTCGCAGTATGCTTCGGGTCATTGTCCATCTGCATTGTGAAGCACCGTCCAATGAGTTTTGAAGCATTTGTCTGAATATGAGCAGATAATATTGCCCGAAACACTTCAGAATTCATTCTGCTGCTTTTGTCAGCAGTCACATCATCAATAAATATAAGAGATCCAGTTCCACTGGCAGCCATACATGCCCACGCCATTACACTACCACCACCATGCTTCACTGATGAGGTGTATGCTTTGGATCTTGAGCAGTTCCTTCCCTTCTCCATACTTTTCTCTTTCCATCATTCTGGTACAAGTTGATCTTTGTCTCATCTGTCCATAAGATGTTGTTCCAGAACTGTACAGGCTCTTTTAGATGTTTCTTGGCAAACTCTAATCTGGCCTTCCTGTTTTTGAGGCTCACCAATGGTTTACACCTTGTGGTGAAACCTCTGTATTTCCTCTGGTGAAGTCGTCTCTTAATTGTTGACTTGGACACAGATACACCCACCTCCTGGAGAGTTTTCTTGATCTGGCCAACTGTTGTGAAGGGGTTTTTCTTGACGAGGGAAAGGATTCGTCTGTCATCCACCACACTTGTTTTCCGTGGTCTTCCAGGTCTTTTGTTGTTGCTGAGCTCACCAGTGCGTTCTCTCTTTTTAAGAATGTACCAAACAGTTGATTTGGCCACACCTAATGTTTTTGCAATCTCTCTGATGGGTTTGTTTTGATTTTTCAGCCTAATGATGGCTTGCTTCACAGCTCTTGACAGCTCTTTGGACTTCATATTGAGAGATGACCTCACCAGATTCCAAATGAATATACCACACTTGAAATGAACTCTAGGCCTTTTATCTGCTCCTTGTAAGTGAAATAACGAGGGAATAACACACACCTGGCCATGGAACAGCTGAGTAGCCAACTGTCCAATTACTTTTGGTCCCTTAAAAAGGTGGAAGGCACATATAAAATGTGTTGTAATTCCTACACCGTTCACCTGATTTGGATGTAAATACCCTCAAATTAAAGCTCAGAGTCTGCACTTAAAGCACATCTTGATTGTTTCATTTCAAATCCATTGTGGTGTTGTACAGAGCTGGAATGCTGAAAATTGTGTCAATGTCCAAATATTTATGGACCTGACTGTATATATGTATATATATATATATATATGTTACATGGAGAAATATAAAGAGAAGATTCTGATCAGACTGTTGTGATTACACTCTCCTTTGTACCACACTATCTTGAGTATAAGTTTGATAATATTCTATATGTTTCTTCTTGTCAACAAACTCTGTGCAAACAAAGTGTGTGTTTGATGTGCAAACAAAACAAACACTGAAAGTATCTGCTAACAAGTATTTGATACACACATACCATCCTGCTGCCACAAACTCACAAAACCAGTGTATTGTGGTAGGGTTTTTCTATAGACTGTTTAACTAATGGATGTAGCTACCATGACCTCACCCACTGGTTTGCGGACTGCCATTTTGGAGCTTCGAGTTCAGAGTGGGTATAACTGCAGTTGTAGCAGCTACATGACCTGCCCTCTAGTCCTTGGTCCAGAAGCAGAAGTACTGACAAAATTGCTAAGTTAGTGATTTGCTAGCTATGAAGTATTACATTTAAAAGAGAAGTGGTTAAAGATAGGATAAGGGTAATAAAGTGAATCATGTTTTCCTGTATTATAAATTATAAAGTGAATTTTTGCTACAGTTTGGTCTCATTTATTCACTACAGTGTAGCACTGTAAAAGTTCAGATAACCGTTGCGCTGGTGTGTTTGTCTTGTACCAATAGTGGGCACAGTTTGTAGGGGCATGCCGTGTATGCTACAAACGGAATGCGTCTGCAGCTATACATGTCTCTTGAGTTTGGCATTTTAGCTGTCACCATCCTGGTTTTTTTTAATCCACAAATGACCATATTTGGACGAGAGGGTGGAGCTGTGGAGGAGTGAGGAGTGGATCTGACTGAGAAGCCCAGAGGCCTGTACTACGAAGCAGGATTTGGAGTTAGCAAGGTACCTTCAGGCTTAGCTCTGGGTTTTCAGTACTACGAAGCTGGTTCTCTTTTTACCAGGATAAATCACCGTGGTAACTTATGCTGAACGGCTAACCTGCTCTGGAGTAGGTTAACTTCAGGGTATCGAATCACAGCCTGTCAACATCCCAACCTCTGACCAATCAGATCACTTAAGAAAAAGTATCCATGGGCGAAAGTCCGGAGTCTCAGGTAAAAAAAGAGTAACCTATATATTGTCAGTAGTCATAGTAGGCCATTTCATTGTTCCAGGGCTCTATTTCCACTGGTTTTAAAACAGAGCTTCTGACAAACACAGAATGTTTACACATTAGACACATGATATTAACTGTCTTTTAACTTGAGCAAAGTTCATTTTAGTCCGCAGTGATAGTGTTGCTATTTTACACTTTTCACACAAATAACATAAGATACCTGTGTCATGAGGACTAGGAATAAAAGATAATATTTTCTAAGAAAAATAATCCACACCTTTTAAATTGGCTCCCCTTATTGTAAATACCACATTTCAGTCAGTTAGACCTCATCATGCATTAACTAAGCTACTTTTCCACACTTAACTTCGATGCAGAAACAGGCTGGTGTTACTTTAAAGTGTTTTACGTGAAATATTCATCATTATCCAACTTGACAGCAAAAAATACTCTACACTAATGTCACTTATATCTTTGTGATACCTATAAATAATTAAAGTCTCAGCCAACGGTAACTTTTTGGATGGTATTTTCAATATTTCTACATTTCTGTTATAAGATTACAGAATGTCGTTTACATCCACGTCACTGACATTTTACTGTCTCACGATTGCCTGCACTTTTGGTACCGTTTCATCTCATGATGTGAAGCAGCCTACTTCATTCATGGTTCTGATGATGTCGCATGTAATTAACAGCCCTGCCTCTTTGACATGTACGTGCTTGTGGCTGGATGGGAAAATCCAGAGTTGACTGAACTAGCTTATAACCAGCTTTGTAGTACCCATTATCCAGACAGCCAATGCTAGAGTTAGTCAAGCCAGATAGCAAAAAGATATCCTGGGTAAGTTGATCTGGCTTTGTAGTACACACCTCAGGACACTTTCGGCAAACAGTCTATCACTCAAGCAGCCCTGCCGCTAAATATGCAAAAATTTGGGCCTTAATGAATGTAAATGGGTGTCATATAAAAATTCACCCCCTGTACAATCACCATGAATGGGGAAATTAGCTACACAGAGCAAAACTGTTTTTTGTATCCAGCTGTAAACATGTTTATTTCTGCTGTAAAATAGGGTATTTTAACATGGAGGTCTATGGGAATTTGCTCTGTTTTGGAGGCAGCCTCAAGTAGCCTTTTGATGAACTGCAGTTTTTGGCCCTTCTGCACCAGATTTCTTTTTTCAGCCTCAGAGGTTACTGCTTGGGTTTTTCCTGCATTAAAGAATTTTTCGCAGACACAAAGAGGTTTCGGCCAGCCCTAAAATGATAACGTTAAGAGTAAAAATAGCAATTCTCTCTGAACTCTCCACATGTTTAATAGCAATTTATCAAACAATTATTAAACAAACAACACACAAACTTAACTAAGGCGTCTTTGACTTCCAGCAGTCAACCCCATTCTCATCCACAGCCGCTGTATTTTACACATGTGGCTAAGCCAGATAAGCTGCATTGTTTGTCTGAGCCGTACCCTCAGCTGCAAAGGTAACGTTAATGTGAAAGAGGAGTATCTCCTGTAGGTGAATCTGACACAACAATCTCCTGTTGTGTGCTACATATGTGAAAAGGCAACTCTGCATGAAGGCGAAAAAGATATAAAAGATATAAAATCACCTGGATCTTCTGCATTGTGGGGCTCATGGATAAAGTGCATCAGAGATTTCTGCTGGCTGAGGGTCTAACTCCAGGTTTAGCCCTCCACTCACTTGAATGGGGATAAAACCATTTAATTGTGCACCTCTACTGAGCTTTGAAATTTTTTCAAATCGTTTGAATCAAAAAGTCACTTTGCAGGGGCTGTGATGCTCAAAAACATTTATCTGCTGATTTACAGATGTCTGTAATTGTAATTCCACGGTTTGGCCACTATGTCAAATTAGCTTCGAAGCCTGGAGCTGTTCCTTGGGATTTGCTCCCAACCCCAGACCCCTCTCTCAAACTCCCCCCTCAAACTCAATCATCTTAGGCATTTTTGTTTATCAAATGGTCAGACATAACAGTAAAATGCATAGATTTCTGTCAAATAAAGTAACACAGACTCATTGCCTTTACTAGGCGCAGACCGATCAGGTTGCTGTGTGTAGTCATCCTCCAAAGGCCCATTCTGAGCCAGGAAAAACCCTGTGTGTCTTCCCGTGTGTGTGTGTGTGAGACTGTGTCCTGTGTGAACTTCGAGGTGTGTGTCGATCAGTGATGTTACCATCAGCTTAGTACTATCTTTGTGATTTTAAACTTTCCTCTGCACTTACTGAGTGTTCCCAGACATCTGAAGCCTTCCCGCACATTTTGAGTAAACATTGGAATTATTGGCTGAAAGAAAGGAGAGAGCAAGACAAAGAGTAGATTAGAAAAGAGGGCTTTCTACATTGCAGAATCCTAACATGGAAAAAGATGTTACAATTACACAGTGCATTATGACACTCATGTAGTTTACTGTGAAAGTAGAGTAACCAGAATCAATTTAGTTAATTCCTATTCAACACAACCCAGACAGAGAAATTTTGAATTTGTTGAAGAAAATTTGAAATGGTAAAAAAGTGAAACTAATCATGCACATATGTAAACAAAAACTAAAAATGTACTTCCTGGTGATTTTCTCCATAAGTGTTTAGCTGGGAGTTTTTAGTGCGACAACTTACAATCTGACTACAGTGTCATCTTATTATGAACTGCCTCCTAAATTTGTTTGTGACATACAATATCTTTTATATGACCACTTCTGCTGGTCAGCTGCATTTACATGTCGGCAACTAAAACATGTAGTACTCAGTTATTACTGAGTAATATAATGAGAAATTTGGCCAGGAAACTCCAATCTGATCAAAGTTATTTTCAGATAGAATCGTGTCTGCTTAATGTGCAAAAACAAAAAAATACCAAATAATCATATATAGACCAGAGTAGGCACTTTGTGATAAAGCGTATTATGAATGCTCATTTAGACCTTTTAGTAATGTTGAAAGGCTAATTTAGACTTAATAGGCTGTGATACCTTCAATATAAGGCTCAAATATCTTTACGGCTCCAGACAGACTTTTTAGAAATACTTTTTGGTAAAAATGGCTCTTTGGATAACGTTTGCTGACTGTTATAGGGCATGTCCTACACTATGACAAAGCATACAAACAATAAATAATAGGAATTCCACATCCAATAATTTAATATTTAGTATAGCTGCACAGAAAGGAATAGACCCTTACAGGGGATGCCCATGCACATGCATCCAAAAACATTTTAAGCATGTATGAACTGTAAGCATGTTATATCTGCAAGTGTACTGGGAAATAGGGGTGTAACGATCCATCGTTCTGGATCGATATATCTATTTAATGATCAACGATCCAATCACATCGATGCAAAGTGAAAACATCAATCCACATTGTCATCTTAAGCGTAGGCTTTTATTTTGAAAGTCTGTGTCACTGTCAAACAGCAGCAGGCAGACAGCAAGCAGCCATGAGAAAGACGATGAGGAATAAATCAGCAGTGTGGAAATATTTTGGATTTCGAAGAAAATAAGGATCAACAGACAGAGCACATGGTGCACGTAAACAATAATGTCACTAGATAAAACAGGACGTAACGTTACCTGACTGGACGAGCGTCTCACTCCGCTGACTTCTTGCTTTAGCAACATTAGCTGGCATCGGTTAAAGCTTACCGGGCCAGTCACAACCGTTTACTACTTTGGGGCGGGTTATTTGAAATCACGTCATCAGAATAGGAGGGACAAGGAGCGGAATGAATGCATTTCGTAAACAACCAACATGGCTGCTGATTTTTAAACTGCTATGGTAAATGTGTTGAACGAACTGGAATGTACATTTTCTTTAAAAGCAGAGCAAACGGCTGCACTGAAAGCTTTCATTGAAAAAAAGGATGTGTTTGTCGTCCTTTCTACGGGGTTTGGTAAAAGTTTAATTTATCAACTGGCTCCGTTGATCGGGAAAAAGATGAGACTCAGTGCAAACCCAGTAGCTATTGTTGTTTCTCCGCTAGTTGCTCTCATGTAGGAGCAGGTCAGGGAAGCAACCAAGCTGGGAATTACAGCCACACAACTGGGAGTCCACAGTGAGGAGGAAATCCGCAAAGACGACAACATTCTTTCCCAGAAATCATCACAGCTCATCTCTGCTGGCGCTTGCTGGTCTGTTCATAGTGGCATTGTGCTAGCCTACGTCACATATTTCGTTTACTCTGATTGGTTTTCCGTCTTTCCAATTGCATGAAGGGGCACTTTGAGTGACAGCCGCTGATACCACCCCTCAGGAATAGAGGAAATGTACACTCCGTGTCCGGACCTATTCACGTTTTGCGAATTGGGTCTGGCAATGCCAGGCTAGAAAAACCGTGCATGCAGACTGAAATTTAACCGTACTGTTCTGTGGGGAGATACAGTAACTTAACCCAACGGTGAGTAAGAAAAATAATAATGTTACATGTAGTTTGGTAAGCTGTAAGTAGAGCCGCTAGGCAATGTAAACATGCTTAGCTAATAATGGGTGACTGGCAAAAAACAATTGTTATGTCCATGTTATTACTGAGCTGTATGTTATACTTTTGTTGAATGATCTTGTTGTTAATCTGTATTTTATGGCTGTTTGGAGAAGTTTTCCTTTAGGGCTTTAAGCCAAATAGACCTGGGCCTGTATTCACAAAGCTTCCTAGCACTAAGAGTTGCTCTTAGTAAAGAAATTATAAGAAAATTCTTAGAATTGTGATGTTTTCTTAGAATTTCTCCTTAAAGTTAAGACTAGGTCCTTGTAAAGATAAAAGTTATTCACAGAGCATCTCAGACCTTAAAAGAACTCCTTAGGTGAAAAACTGTTAGGGGCAGGGAGGAGGACTTTTAAGGGGCTTAAGAGTTTCTTAAGCAGAGGAGAAATGGTGGAAACAACATGAGGTCAGAGAAATATTCTCCAAATACTGCATGGCAGTGAGTAAATAAAATGCTACAGATTAGATTGTGCAGGAATTATGTTTGTGGTCAATCTCATTAGAGATAAACACACAGTTCGCATCCAATGGAATAACACTATAATGCCAGAAACAAAATAATCACAACACTAACATATTTGAAAAACTGGAAAAATGTAACAGTGCAGCAGTGATGACTTTGGTCCATCTCAACCTTCCAACAGCAGTGATCATACAAACAACGACAACACTTTCAGTCTCATATTGTGATGCAGTTCATTTCATTTCCACTGGGTGTCCACACCTTGCAGGCTCACACAAGGGCGTGTCTGTGACAACCAATCACATCTGTTAAAAGAATGCATCACACCTAGCAACAGGGTCAACCACACCTCCACACTAAGATAAAAGTTGCTGTCCTTTCTTTGCTCAGAGTTGCTCTGAGAACTTTCCTAAATCATTCCTAAGCTTACCCTGGAAATCCAGAGTTCTCGCGAGAGCACAATTTGAATTTGCTCAGCGAGTCACTCTGGCAATCAGTAATGATGCTCATTACCCATGCTGTTGGAGCCGAGCTGCACCAATCACATCGGTGTATCTGATATAGGCGGGCCAGAGGCGAGGTAAACAGATGATGTCAGCACTGCGACGACGAAGTCCGGAATCAGTCAGTAAACATTGCAAGATGGCTACGGATGAACACCAGTTGTTTGAAACAGCTTTGGCCGCTACAATGAACGAGTTAGACTTGGCTTTTTCTCTAAAAGAGGAACAGAAGAAGGCGCTCGAATCTTTCCTATGCAAGAAGGACGTTTTTGCTGTTTTGCCGACCGGATACGGCAAGAGTCTAATCTACCAGTTAGCTCCGCTGGTAGCGCTCTGGATACGTCACCCCATGTATTGTTCTGATTGGTCATAGTGTTATCCAATTGCATGCAGTGATATTTTCAAATGCATGCTTGGTGCCACCCCTCGAGTTGTGCCATTTGCATTACTCATAGCCAGACCCTAAATCTTTCTAGATTTGGGTCTGGATTTCCAGGCTATCCTAAGCTAGGACTCCTTACTAAAAGTTTTTAGGCTAAGTTAGGAGCTCTCTGAGAGTGTTCTCAGAATGTTTGTGGATACAGCCCCTCAAGTTTAATGGAAAAGATGATGGTTTGGATTAAAATGAAAAGTTTTCTTCCAGAAAGGTCTCTCTGACAGAAAGCCCTGAAGGTTAACTTATCCCATTTACTGTTTTATTTGTGTAAGTGGAGTCAGTTTAATGTGATCTTTACTGTACTTGCTATTCATATGTTGCTTGTGTTTTATGGCCAAAAGTAAAAACGAAAGGGGTGGCAGCATCTTCTGTAACAGACTGTGTTAAATCGCCAAATATCGATGACACACTCCTGAACTGTATCGAATCGAAATGGTATCATGGCAGACATTGTGATATCGGAAAATACTGTATCGTTTTCCAAAGAATCGATATAATATCCTATTGTGATGAAACTGGTGATTTACACCCCTACTGGGATACACTGAAATTCAGTGTAACATTTTATATTGGTGAAACTGATGATGTGAATGTAATCTACAATTTCATGCAACGTACCACTTGAGCGTCGATGGCGACCTGGGCGAAGCCTCTGCGTTTGCCCCAGAGAAGAGGGTAGGTCTCATCACTGAATAGAGCCTCCCGCACTCCTCCTGGAGAAATTGCCAATAGGTGACCATTCTTCAGAGCCCGCACACACTCCTCCTGAGGACCATGGATCACACTGAACACCTCCAACAGTAACTTGAAACCTGGAAAAGGATGATAGAGGATAGGGTAGAATGAGAAAGAGCCACGGGGAAGAGAAAGGAAATAAGATGAGGCTAGCATTTAAAAAAATTAACAGAGGAAAAAAAAATACCTACATAAATTCATGATCCTAAATGTTTTTCATGGGTCACCTAAAATTCTGTGGTCACACACTAATGCCAGGGTTAGACTATAGGATGATTGTCTTTTGAGATGGAAACTGTGTCAAATCAGGTGATTCTGCTGTGGACTGGTCGCTGCAGACTGCATGGACTCCAAGCAATCAGAGCCTGCTGTCATTTAGGCCACATCCACACAAATACATTTCCGTACACATGAGCATTTCAACACTGTTTCACATCTGATCGCCATCTATACTAACACCCCTGAAATTGCATATCACATGATCATCATGTACACCTGGCATGTGCATAGTCCTGATATAAACAGGAAGCAGATTGTCTACTCTGCAGTTAGTTGCCTAGTTACAGAAAATTCTTCAGAGATAGTGAGATTTTTTTTTGCTCGGACTGACAGCGAGGTAAAACTGTTAGTGAAAGTAATGTCGCAGCGACTGAAAACACATTGAGAACCATTACAAAGAAAATGCAGCAACATATCAGAGCAGTATTGGGAGCATTATCCATCGCTAGAGGATGTCATGACAATCGGACAGGAGTACCGACACAAGAAGAATGAAATCACAAAAAGTATGTAGGCTTGACATAAATGATCACATCACTGAAGAGATCCAATCAGGAAGGGAACGTGGGAATCTGTGTCATAGGGTTCATCCCAATACCGAATCTCGTATCCAAGTTTCCCTCACTTGTGTCTCTTCCTCGCGTCTTAGCTCCGCCCTTGTAAGACAGGGGGGAGAGATACTAGGATGATACACGAGGAGAGAAGATACGAGAAAACATGTCTTTAGAGAAATGAGACGTCTTTTCCTCTAAAGTGTCACGTGAAGCGAAGCCCGTTTGTGATGACGGCGGCAGCTGATCACAGCTGGATCAGCCATCAGGGGGCTTTATTAACAGTTATAGAAACTTTTAATGGAGTTTGTTGCTGCACATACATAATGTTATATAAACATATATAATGATAAAGATACAGATACAGTTAACAGTAACAGAGCAGCAGTGTTTTCTTTATAATATGTACTGTGTCCTGCTCAGAGTCACACAATGTGTTTATATGATTTATTCATTATTTGCATCTGTATTTATTGATATTCTGATTGTGAGTGAGGATAGAGGATAGAGGAGTCTAGGAGGGATATTGGGATGAACCCATAGTCTCCTTCAGTGTTTTCGCCCATCCAGACTAAAACGCAACCCTGTTTTTTTCAAACTAAAGCAGTGTCAGCAGCATAGTCAAAGGTGTCCGTTTTCTGGGTTCCAAAACGCCAGAGTAGTGTGGACCACTGGCATAAACATAGAAACAGGTATGTGTTTCATAACAAAAACATTTTAGTGTGGATGTAACCCTAATGACTTGTGTGACGTACAGGTGAACAGTAGGGTGTCAGGGACTAACTGCACTGTGCCACCTGACAGCACCAACCACAAATGGTTCTGTATGTAGTTAGGGGTTTCTGCATGACAGTTCAGCTGGAAGCATTCATCTGTAAAGTGAAGTGAACGTGAACTCTATGTTGTTATATTTTAAAGTCAATATTGGCACAAACATTCAAGAGAAGCCATCAGTGGCAAAGAAAGTCCCAGACCTCGAGCTAACTGCCCAGTCAGTAGCAGAAAAGGTGAGTGTGTGGGTCGACAGCTTTCACAGTGTGTGTGCAGACGGTGACATCACACCCATGGGTAAAATTAAATTGATGGAGTGCCCCTGAACACTGTGTGCTTCGATTGCTTAATGTCACCAAACGTCGTAGCAGTTGTCAAACTACACAAGGTAAAGAAAAAAAATATCTGCATAATGTTTTTGTCAGGAGGTTTAAACAATGCTGCATCAGTTTTCTTTTATACCACATGTCCACCAAAATTAGCACGTGTGCGTGGGTTTTAAAAATATGGGTAATATTGCTAAGCACAGGCTATAGACACGTTTCCTATTGCCAGTAGAGCACAGCCTTGTACATGGCCCTGCAGCAGACGACTATGCCTTTTTTTTTTATTGTTTGTTTTGTCTTTGGTGTGTCACGTCAACGTCATGGACAGGCTGGAGAACAGGTAGGCAGTAGACAGCACAAGACAGCAGCACAAAGGAAAGAAAATCTATCTCTTACGTACTCAGTCTCTCTAAAACTCTGTGCGGATGAATTTGGATCGATGTTTGAGCGCTGTTTGGGTGAAGATGGGCGGTGTTTTGTAACGGTGCGTCATTGCATCTTGTCAGTTAAAGGGCTAAAATTAGCACGTTCATCCGGGTATTGTGTTCCCATCTATGCCGATTAGAGTCAGAGGCAATAAATACTCGTGACTACTGCAGAATCATTTGACACGGGTGTGAATGACGATTAAAACCATTCCCATTGCATTAAAAAGTCAGATGTTAGTGGGTGTAAATGGGTCTTTAGGGTGCAGTGGGAAAGGGGCTTTACATAACATGGAATAAAACCAGCAACAGTCACACCTGACACTCATTTTCATTCCTGACACCCCACAACTGTTGAGTTGGATCATTATCTGACTGATCTCATGTAGTCTGATCCTGGAATAAGATTAACATTATTTCTCTGGATTGTTTTTCACAATGTCTGGTGAACAAGTGTAGAAATGGACACAGATTAAGTCAAATCACTCAGAAGGCTCGTGCTGAACAGATAAACTGAGAGAATAAAATTCTAATTTTTAAAGATTTTTTTTTGCGTGGCTTTTGACATCTTCATTATAGAGCAGCTGAAGAGTGACAGGAAAGCGGGAAAGAGAATGGGGATGACACGCAGCAAAGGGCCACAGGTGGTAATCAAACCCGGGCCGCTGCAGAGGACATAGCCTACATGGGGCAGACACTCATCTTCTTGTATTTGGTTGAGATTCAATTTTTTTCTCTACTTTTTTGATTAAACAAATAAAACACTTCAAGACTTTACAGTGGACTTGTATGATTGAGATAAAGTTGAAGTTAGAGTTTTAGCTTTTTACTTTTAGCTAAGCCCTAATTTGGGTGAAAGAAGCTAACAACAACACAATGAAAAGTAAACCGAAACCTATAGTGAAATTGTGTGAGTACCTGGGATCTTGAAGAGGCAGTGGTCAGCCACAGAGTGGCAGGGCCGTCCCTTTTGGATGATAACATTGGCCAGGAAGTAATAGTAGTCGATGGGAATGGCTCCATGATAGTACACTATCAGTGCTGGTCCTTTGTCAGGGATCTTCTCCATCCCATGGATCTCATAACCTGGTAGACACACACGCGCACGCACGCATGCACACACATGCACACAAAATATAAGGTACGTGTGATCAGGGACAGAAACAGGAAGAGTAGGCCACAAGTAAATACACACTAGAGGTATATTTGTGTGTTCACACAGCACAGTGCCCCTCAATTGTAAGAAACAAAATAAAACTAGAGTTACTGCCTTGCAGTTGTATGCCATCACGCACCAGTCAAGTTGCAGTTATAGTTTACATCCATGACTGTGAAAACATGGATGCATCACACAAATCTTCCACCTGGCAGCACACAAGAGCTAAACAATCAGCATAGTTTCATGGTGGACATCCAAGATTTGTGTCACCAATTCAGTATCTGACCAAATGTCTCCCTTTCTGTTCCTGAGATATGACGTTGAGTAATGGCCAGAAAAGTGTTTTTGCAGAATATTATGTCACAGAGAAGTTGACCTTTGACCTTTTGGATATAAAATGTCATCACATTGTTTTATCCTATTAGACTTCTTGAGTTATGGCTAAAAACATGTTAAAAACAAGTCAAAGTGACCCACCAAATTCTAATCAGTCCTCGTTGTGATGAAATGTGAAGAAATTCCCTCATGTTGTTCTTCAGATGCCATGGTCACGAGAATAGGACAGATAAGGTCACAGTGACCTTGAACTTTGACCAACTACCACCAAAATCTAATTAGTTTATCACTGAATCAAGCTGAATGTTTGTGCCAAATATAAAGAAACTCCCTCTAGGCGTTCTTGATATATCATGTTCACAAGAATGGGACAGATGGACAGACACCCCTAAAACATAATGTCTACAGCTGTCGTCGGTAGAAGCACAAAAACTACATTCATAAACACAACCAACACATTTCTATTGCAAGGCTTAGGTATAAGGCAAAGACACCTTTCAAATACACATTTACTCTCTCTGGGCACTTGGCATTTTTCATATGTGCCTTCCAACAAGCTCACAGCTGAATATTAGCAGTAACAGGAAAAAGTGCAGTTTGACCTCAGAATCTATCTTTCTCCTTTTTCTTGTCTTTTATGGTGCTAACGATTGTATATATGCCACCTGATGGGACAGAATCTTAAGGATGCTACAGATCTTCGATAAATTAAGCCTGTGGTGTCTTACCATGCCATATGGCTCCATGTCCGTCCCACAGAGTAGCCAGGGTCTTCCTGGCTCCATCCCACAGGTTGTTGCAGTAAGCTTCCCTCAGCTGATTCTTCCTCTGTTAGAAGAAGACATCAGAAAATATACTGTGTGGAGTGACTCAAGGACAAGACACGACAGGACAACAGCAACAGATTTATACTACCTGGATCTTATTTCAATAGTGTGGTCCAGAACACTTATTCTTAACATTCACCTATGTCTATAAAGGGCAATTTTCTAATGCAGGTTGAGAATGAAATCAGACAGTAAAGACAGGGATATCATGTACTGATGGTGAGTGACAGACCTATCATTCTAGGTGTCACTCTCTTCCACAAATTTTGATTTTATACTTCTTTGCTCTTGAAACTCTTTCAGTTTTGTTATTTCTTATGTAATCCCAAGCATGTGAAAACATAGTGTATGCATTTAGAGTAGGGTGTGCACGAAAATTTGGGACAAATCATATCTCGTACTGATTCAGTAAGGGACAGTGCATTTTATTAATATTGGACAATCCTGTATTTACAAAGGATGGATGGCAACCTTTTGCCCTCTGTGGGTGGGTGATGGAACCTGTAACGCTAGTTATAGGAACATTCCCTTTTTTGTTCTGGGTGCATTTTCAGCACTGTTGTTGAAGCCACAAATTTAGCTTAGTCTGACTGTTAGTAATGTTACAGATGTGGACAGTTCAACAGGTACCAGAGCTCATCAAGGATATTTTAATACATGCTAATTTAACGTTAGTTAAATATCTGTTGAAAAAACAAAGCAGTATTTGCTAAATCAAAGGCAACTTACTTTTAAAAAGAACAGCAGTTGACAGTCAGCCACCAAGATTAGCCACTGGGACTGACCATAGAAGGGCAATGCTCCTAACTAGCTTACTGCTGCTTCCACTATCTCACCAGAAGTGGCACCCATAATCAATTCTATAGTGGCACCCTCAGGAATAAGGTGGATAATGTAATGCATCTCTCTCTCTCTCTGTATCATGATTGGTACTACAGCAAGAACTGAGATTGCACTGTCTCTTGGGGCGAGGTCATATAAATGATTTGTAAATGATAAAATAACTGACAGTCTAATTTCTATGCTGGTTAAGTAATATTTATACTGCTTTCAATATGGTATTTCTTGCGAGGCACACAGCTGTGGTAGTGCTGCTTTTTCCCCCCAGTCAAATACTAATCTTCACAATCGAATGCCAGTTTTTGAGGGTTTTTTGCTTGTTTGTTTTACAATTTGATTATATATTCGAAGTTAGAATTGATTAATTGACAGCCCTTAAAGTAATCAAGTTAAGGCTCATGATGTTTGGATTAACTAGTTGGCTGACCTGATCTGAGACTCAGTAAACTGTTCGGGCAACTTGATTATTACCAGTCCATTTGTCTGACTGACTGCTGTACGGCAGCTCCAGTCTGTGATGGTTGCTCAGTTCCATGCTCTAATCAGCACTGAGCTGGCTAGTTTACAGTTGTTGCAGATGTTGTGGCTTCTGTTTTCAATTCACACCTAAAATGCCGACTGTTTGTCACTCTGCTCAGTTAACAGACCCTTTTTATGACATTTTGCTCCATTCTGTCAAATTCTGTGAAGATATAAATAGTAAATAACATATGAGTATCATGCTGTAGCACCAGCAGTTATTATTTATACCTATTATTTTATACCTAAAAATAATCATTTGTCGTTGTTTGTAACATTGCGTAAATGAGATGAACTATTATTTACTGTTGACACAGTGCAGATGGTGGAAAGAGTGTTTGCATACCTTGTAGACATGAAGGAAGAGTATAGAGAGGTAGAGGAGGATGACAATGAGGAAGGGCACAAGGAAGACAATAGCCAGAGGAGTGAAGACCCACAACAGGTACTCCAAAACACTCAGATAGTCCTCCAACTGGCCGAGGCCTACCCATTCCTCCCATGCATGAAATACACACACCTGTGGACCAAGATATCCAGTTAAATCCATCACTTTGTTCCAGACTGAAACATCTCAACAACTATTGGATGAATTGCTGTGAAACTCTGCACAGACATTCATGTTTACCAGAGCATGACCACACACACACACACACACACACACACACACACACACACACACACACACACACACACACACACACACAAATAACCGCCAGGCAAAAAGCCAGTGAGTCCACTGAGGGAGAGAACTTGACAGAAAGAGCCACTATAAAACAACATGAGAAATTATATAATTATATAACAGTGTACCGATCAGTATTACAAGATCACGAATTGCAAAAAAAAATCTCATTTCAGGGTGAACGATTAAACTATTCTCCATTCAAATCAAGACTGTGGTATCTATCTGCTGGAGATCTCACATATCATTCACTGGTTCATGAATTTGGCTGGAGGGACAGGGGTGCAATATGCATTCTACCATATCCGACTTATTCCTAGCCCCAATGATCCCTTGCTAGAATTATGTGCGTGACCTCCAGCATTGAACCGAATCCAGCGATTTCCAATGGTAACAGTTTGTTTACAGTACTCTATTCTTCTTTCCAAGGGCAATTGGGAAATAAAACGTGGACCACACCACATTTGATCATACCTCTGCCATCTCTGACAGCCATCTCAAAGCATTGATTTTTTTTTCCTTTTCACCCAAGCACGCTAGCAATTAGCTTGCCTTGCTCTGTTAAAATATTGTTAACTTTAACATGGCCCAAGCTAGCTTAAGGTAAACATCTGCTCCTTCTAAAGATGATTCATGATTTACTATGACTTATCAAGAGCTACTAACACATTCGGCATAATTCAGTATTAACTGTAGCTCCCTGTAAAGCGAATAAATGTGATGTTTCCCAGCTAATTCTCAGCTCGTCTGCATTAACTACGCAGTTTACACGTTTTTTTTTAACATCTGATTCATTAAAATCTGTTCTGAGCAATACAGGATGCTGAATTTAACAGCACACTTCAATAATAGTAATATAAAATAGTAGTAAAAGAAATAACTTTTGGAATTAATTTTTTATATGATTTAAAGGAAGTATGGTAAATCAGTAAAACATTCTCAGCCCTAATGACTAAATACATATTTCAAGCTATGTTGCTGAGTTTATTTTATAACAAGCACTTTTGTAATGTAGGTTGAGAATGAACTGGTTACATGTTCAACAGACAGTTGCTGAAGACAAAAATTTAGCTTAGACTGGTTGTTAGGCATCACAGACACGGACAGTGCAACAGGTACCAGAGCTCTGCAAAGACATTTTAGATAATGCTAAGTTAACATTAGTTAAATATTTGTTAAAAAATAAATTTTTATTTGCTCAACTGAAGGCAAATTACTTTTGAAAAGAACCAGCGTTGGCAGTTAGCCACCAAGAGTAGCCACTGGGACTAACCACAGACAGTCTATGGGACTAACTAGCTTACTGCTACTTCCGCTATTGCACAGAAAGTTGCGCATATAATCATTTCTACAGTAGTGCCCTCAAGAATAAGGTGGATATGCAAAGATCAGTTCATCTGATGATTATTCTCTCAACTGTTTATTCTATAAAGTGGCAGAAATAGTGAAAAATGCCCCCCAAAATTTCCAAGACATCGTCTTTAAATACCTTCCTTTATCCAACCAACGGTCTAAAATCCAAATAAATAGCCTTTTGTTCTTATTTTTTTAGAAAATAGATGATTTGTTTGTCAATCAGTCAACACTGACTGATCATATCAGCTCTGAATACATGCACCATCACACTGAAACCTTTACTGTTTGTCTCTCCCAACTGTTGCCTGATGTAAGCTCTTCAGACCAACACTGTTTTACTGTACTTTTGAAGTACAGTAAAACTTTAAAAGCCTATTCCCCATTAAACACCCAGTCCCTTTCACTCAACCAGTGTGGCTACACATTTTGAAACATAAACGCTTGTCTCAATTAGACACCTTGTCTGGTGGCCAAGCAATTAATTTTTTTAATAGAAGTTCTTCAGATGTATAAAACCAGGTTGTTGGCTAACTCAAATTATGTGTCCATGCCTCCATTACACTGTAAGTTATTGATTTTCCTTTGATACGCTGTCTAGCAGAGCTAAATCAAATGAATGATTTATAATTGATAGGCTACGATCATCTGAAGCCTAATTTTTAAACAAGTAATATTCATACTGGTTTATATAAACAATTTGATTGTAATTCCCATCTTTGCTGAGCAGCAGGTTTGGGTAAAAGGAATTTAGATGCCTGTCCCAAATACAGTATGGGCTTGGGTGATTTTGGTGAGTCAAGCAAATAATGGCCCGGGTTATTAATTGAAGTTTTACGGTTGTTATATTACATTACATTCCCTTGGCAGAAAATTGCTTCCAGTGTGACACATATGGAGAGCAACAACAACCACCAACAACCCTGCAATTGATGACCAACCCATTCAACCAACTACAGCTACAGCTGCCACATTAGTGATCTGTAGTTACAACCTTGATACGATCTATTTAACATCACATTCAGTCATGTAATGAACCAATTTCTGAGGTAACTAAAGGAAAACACTGCATGAGCATGAATGCATGAGCCAAATATTTTTACAGAGACAATGAACAACACCGACCATGTTGTAACTGTCAGTACTAAATGGACAAGACTCATACCAGGAAGGACAGAGTGTCCTCTGCTCCCATCAGGCATGACTGGTTCCCACTGTCTGACATCCTGCTCTGCTGTCAGCCTCAAACAGCTGATGACAGCCTCAGGGGGAAGGAGCACACTGCATGGAGAGCATCTGTTGCTACACACAGGTAAAGTGAAGGAGAAGGCAATAACACTCAGTTCAACTGTTCAGTTTCTGCATGAACATTTTTTTCTGTCATGTTGCATTTCATTTTGGTAAAGATCAGCCGTCTGTGTTAGGAGAATACAGTTTGAGGGGTTTTGATTGGTTTGTTAATGATAACGTTTTATAGAACAACGTGGCTTTTGGAATAAGTAAGCATTATCGGTATATGAGTGGCACCATAACGTTACTGACGACACCTCGTCGAACTGTCGCACCGAATCAAACGATAACTGTGTTGCATATGATTTAATGGAAGCTAGCTTTGCTGTTCGGATTGACCCTAGCTATGAGGAACAGAACAGCGAATAAACTACATGCGACAGTAATGATAACAGTAAAGCAGCTGAGGGAAAACAGTGAGCTAACGAACGAAACGTAAACAGAACATAAGTGGAAAATCTTAAGAGTTGAAAGCAAGCCTTCAGTGTCAACGTCAACAGCCAACGTCATTTTCACCGCACACAAAATAAACACATAAACGTTACCTTAGACAGTTACTCTGTGAACACAGCCATTAAAACATTTCACTGTGCGTTTAATTTTAAACTAACACAACATACAAATTTTATCGCAAATAACCTATACGCTAACAAACGTCCTGTTCTTAACTCCGGAACGCTTTCAGTGTGACACTGCACAGTGTTTTGTCCCTGGAAAACAACGAACCAATAGATGAGTTCCACTCGCCTTACTTCTTCTTCTTCTTCTTCTTCTTCTTCTTTCGTTTAATGGCGGATCGCAAGCAACGTTCAGGTGCATACCGCCACCTACTGTACAAGAGTGTGTAGCGTCATATCCCCACCTCTAGATTCTACCCATCAACTGGGTCTCTTTCAGAAAGCTGAATAATGCTTTCCTTACAACTTGGATCTTTTCTCTTTCCCCTTCAGTTCCTAGAATTCCAGCCATACTCCAGTCCTGCTGCGCTGCACTGACTTTTCTCTGTAGCCTCTCTCTCTGAAGCATACTTTAGACAGTGTATTAAAATATGTTCCACATTTTCCTTAACACCACATCTCTCACACTTGTCAGTATTC